GCCTGCTACCACCACCCACTTCTAGTGCTTCCATCACCACCCAAACCCTCGCAATTCCTACTTCTGTGCCGCTGCTACTTCTATTATTACCACGCTTACACTTCGTCGGATGGGATTTCTGAAAGTATGCCGCGCCCCAGCAGTCAGTTTTTGTGGAGCATCCAGATCTTCACAAAGCTGGCACGGATGCCTTCTGTCAATAACAGCGAGGTAAATTTGCCTGGACTCTCTGGGCCATACTCAGCTTGGTCTACATGCTTCGAAGACATGAAGAAAGTCGCATCTCGTCCTCCACAAATTCCTTTCGCTGCAACACTGCATGTTCTGCGAGATGTCGGTAGTGCCTCAACACTGTGTTAAAGAGCAGGTGTTGCACTGCTACACCACCCTCTAGCGTCAGCATGTTTGTACATCATATGACCTCAGGTGAAGTCAGTGTCGCCGGGGTGCAGGCTGGAGCATGATGTGCGTGTGGGGCAAGCGGACAGAAGAACCGTTTGGACAGTGCAGAACATTTCAGATGCTCACATTCATGGCGCGGTTCTGCGAAGGGCACCACGACTGGCATCCCAATAGGGCGTGCAGCCGCTTGTCTGCATGCCACACACTTGGTTGCCGCTTGTTGTTTTCACTGTCTTAGCTGAGATCTGTGCGGATTATGTCTCAAGACAGCAACGATGTCAAAAACCGCTGTGCTTAGAGTCGCAGATGCTTACAGCTTCAGGCGGATCATCCTCAGGGAGCTGGCAAGCCATAGGCCGGGAGTGACATGGCATCCTCTTCAGATGAAACACTGCGGCAATTCCGCACCCTGGGCCAAAGTAAGCGGAGGACGGGCCAGTGTCAGTGCACGTGGATGTTTTCGAATACCTGCTGGCCATGTAATTGTTCCAATCGTCCGGCACGCCAGCTCCTGTGCCTGCCTGACCGAGTATTTGAGTATTCTCTGGCTAAGCCAAAGGCCAGCGAGCTGAGCCGACTTGCCTTCACGGCCGCCATGCGCTGCTGCCATGTTACAGACTGTCGCCCTAAACCCCAAACTGACCTGATGTGCTCTGAGAACTTTGCAGCCTCGCAGCCTCGCTTGCAAGGCAAGTGCCCTACAAGGAGGCGCCAAGTCCTAGCCCGACATGTCGGGACTGGTCGTGATGTAAGGGACGACCCGGACCTGCCAGACGTAGAGCGCCATTACATGCGTAGTTCTCTAGACCTAGCAAGGCTTCCAGCCAAAAGATGGTGGCATGCAATCCCGTGTCGCTTGCTACTTGACACGACTTGGGCAAGAGAGTGACTCATCAACACGTGATGTCATGCCTCAACACGGGCGGCCGCTTTTGCTTGGCCCCGCAAAGTTTGAGGTGACGAATGGTCAATAGATTCAGCAGTCGTGCAATGCCCGAGATTCCAAACTCACAGTACCCCCGCACTCCAGATTCAGGATTCGTGTGATTCATGTGTGCGCATGTTCGCCAGCTCGAACACGAGATTGACAAAGAGTGCTTCAGAGGGGGGGTATCTTGATTGATCCTAACCTATCCGAGCAGCACCTTACACAACCTTGACAAGCCTTGTCATGCTTCAACATGGAGCCGCCTCCAGCCTTTCAGAAAAGGGGCCGCTCGTGCCGCACAGGTGAAGTCCAGGGATGGCCATGTCATTATTATTTTTTATTATTATATCATTATTATTATGATTATTATTTGATCATATTTACAAGATGTAGGCCATCCCTGGACTCACTGGAACACAGTTGTGGCACAAAGTCTCCCAGTGACTCGCGCAGGTGTCCCTCCCCGAGTCCCAGGTGTACAAGTTCGTCCTGTCCAGGTGGCACAGGCGCCGTTGCCTAAATCCGGGTCAGAGATGCTGCTGCCTCCCGGGAGGTAACTATAAGTTTGGGGACAGGTGCCATTTCGGCAATCAGCGAGAATGATCCAAATGTGCGAAGGAACGGTTCGTGGTTTGAGTCCGCAGGCTCACCCGCTGCAATTCGGGTTAGGACTGGTAGTTGTACGAGTTTTGAGGTGAACTTGACACAGACAGCAGCCTCACAAAAAGACATGGTAGTTGTGTGTAGTGGATAAACAGTGGTGATGGCGGTGGCGGTGCTGTTGCTGTCGTCGTCAACGTCGAAGTCGTAGCGGTGGCATCCATAGCAGCAGTTAGTAATAGCAACAACGGGGCCAGCAGGACTGACAATGAAGATGAAAGCTGTTCATTCCCAGGTCTGCTGCATGCACATCATAGTACAAATTCAAGGCTCTCACGGCAGAAGCATTAGACCGATGGGTACGGCAATGTCTCCTGCTCGCAGCCAAGGTTCCCAGGGCGCAGCCCCTGTCAGTGCCTCCAGGGACTCTCATCTCGCGGAAGTAAGAGATAGGATGAAGGATGTAGGCTTGCAGGAACTCCAGGCTGTTTCCACGAGCGAGGTTCCTGAAGATTTTGTCTTCGACTTGGGAGCTCTCTCTCTCTCTCTCTCTCTCTTTCTCGCTCTCTGTCTCTCTCTGTCTGTCTCTCTCTCTCTCTCTCTCTCACACACACAAATACACCTCACTATCTCCGGGTCCCACAGAGCCTCATCCATCATCATCTCGCCAGAGAGTTGAGTGTTTTGATGTCACGGAGCAGTTGCAGCAGCTGCTGTTGATGTTGATCTTTTGTGTCAGTTGCTGAAGCCTTAGAGATATCTCCGAGAATCGCCCTGGGTGCGGTTTTCAAGGAAGAAATGCAAACAAGTAACTCGTTCTTTTGCAGAACTAGCACCTCGCAAATGTGCTGCATCGATGCACATTTGCTACATCCCTGCTCCCTGCATAGTTACTGCCATGTGTAGCCAGCTACCTGTGAGGTGGTGCAGCAGTCTTGATTCATTGCATCTGCTCCCACTCTATTTAATCACACCTGGCTGACGTCAGTGGTGGTACAATTTACGCATTTCGTGTTTAGCCCGTCTTCTCATTGTCAGAAGCACGTCGCATTCTGGGATGTCTCGCGGCAATCAAGGACCGCCGCCGCCGCCACGCGTCCAAGGCCATTCGCTTTCCCACCTCCGCGGCTTCCAGTCGCTAGGATGCAGCCGAATCTGCAAAGAGAGTACCGTAAAAATGAATCAGGCTCCTCTTTACAGCTCCACCCGAAACCCCAACCCTAAGCCCAAACAGAACCTAAAAACGGAATCCCAATCCAACAAAAAAGGAGCCAACCACCAACACCTTGAAAAACATGTTTTTTCTACGAAGGGCCTCGAGGGGAGAGCAGCCGAGGTGCCGGACTCTCTTCGTCAGGCGGTGCAGCCTGTTCCAGGCCTCCTGGGTCGACTCGCACTGCAGGAATTCATGTTGGGGGTGTATTGGGGTGTCACTCGAAGTTGCGACATGGACTGATTACATGACAGGTTTTGCTATCTGCCAGAATGTCTCGGCATACTATGGGTATTTGGTAGAACTCAACAGAGCACAAACCCGACGTCTCCGTCGCTCAGGTCGCAATGAAATCTGCAAATTCGGTTCATCATGCGAGCGTGCCGGCTGCTGGCCAGGTGCTTACAAATTACATGCGAACCAATGTTGGGGCAAGGCGTGATGCATGCGACAGTGTGAACCACAACATAGAGCAGCTAATACAGTAGCCGTCGCACGGAGACTGGAATACTATGGAATACTAGTATCATCATCATTGTCTTGTTCGCCAGAATCGTCTGCATGGTCAAAACAGCCGTCGCAACGAAACTCATCGTGTTCAGTCAAGACTGCATGATCCATTAATGAAGAACAGTTATCATGGCGGTACCGATGATAACGTCCTAGGCGCAGCTGCACTCGTGAAAGTAGTACTGGTGGTGGTGGTAGTAGTAGTAGTAGTAGTAGCAGTAGCAGCAGCAGCAGCAGCAGCAGCAGGAGCAGTAGTAGTAGTAGTAGTAGCAGCAGTAGTAGTAGGAGGAGGAGTAGGAGTAGAAGTAGGAGTAGGAGTAGCAGCAGCAGCAGCGCGGCAGCGGCAGCAGTAGGAGTGGCAAGTACCAGTAGCAGTAGTCGTCGTCGTCGTGGTGGTGTTGTAGTAGCGGTACTTACAATAGGGTCGTTCGCTGTGATTGATTCAAGGTATTTGCACCCGTTCGGCCGTGCCATCGACCTCAATCCCTTGAAAGCCATGTGCAGCTCGGCGTGCCAATCAATCCTGTACTGTATTTTTTGTGCCAGGGTCGATCGGTCGAGGCCGCATGACAGCGTGTGGCAAAAGGCAATTGCTACGAGCTTGATTGTGCACCGAGGTCATTGGGGTGCTGCTTGCGATAAGGTTGACTGCTGGCGAATCCATCCGCCGGAGCCTGGTGTAAACATGAGCGCGTGTTCTTAGCAATTCCGACATGGCAGCAATGATTGAAGCCTTGTCTGCCGCGAGGAGCGAGACGACTTTGCGTACTTCTCAGCTTCGACAGATTTGCAGACCTTCAGATATCTTCAGTTCTGTCCTTAGCAGGTTAGTCGGCAATGATCGGCAATGGCCAGGTCACACCGCCGCAAGACTTCTGCTTGTACCTCGATGAGATTCCCATGGTGCGCCCTGACGTGGCTGCCTTGCCAACGGACAAGGAGGCCGGACAGAAGTATGCGTCTGTGACCACGTAATCGACGTGTATTCAATGAGGGCACCTTCTGCCGCAGATAGAGCCACGAAAACTGTGAATTCTCTGACCGCTTCAAAGGTCTTTATCGATCCTTTGCCTTTCGAGAAGGGCACCGAAGAGTTGGGACAATTTCTGGCAGCTTTTGGCGAGGTCGAAGAAGTGCCTTGGCTGCAAGGGATGTGGCGGCCTCTTGAGTTCATAGTTGTTGCAGCTTCCTGGTACTTGTGCGACTCATAGCCTGACCGTGATTGCACCCCGTGTTCGGCCGAATGTAGGTGCAACTGCCCTGTGCTGTTGACGCGGCCTGCAACCTGCAGTGTATCGTTAAACGGAAGGCCTAAACTCGGGTGAGAGCGGCTCAGAGCGGTAGTTGATGCAAAAGTGCTCCCAATGTCCTTCTCTGTGCACGTACCGTGACGCGGAGAGTGACAAGAATGCCAGCAGACATCGAAGTCTAGCAGCTCAAGAAGACCATGTCGCAAAAGGCAAGATTTGGCCTTGTGCTAAGCAGGGACTCCATCACTTAAAAGAGCTCAACTCTTTGAGATTGAGCACCGTTGCGTTGATCAGTGCTGCCATCACTGCCTGCGGAACTGCTGGAGGAGACCGGAAATGGTCTGCTGCACGTGAGTTGCTGTCGGATGCAAGACAAGCTTTTGTTCGTTGCAACATCATCGTGACAAATGCCGCAATATCATGTTTTGAAGGTTGCCAGGCTTGGCAACAGTCCATTTCCATGTTGGCTTCTGCACAGGCGGAGGACCTGCGCCCTGATACCATTACATACAACACAGCCATCCGGATCGCCCAGCATAAGACTTGGCCCTGGTCACAGGCGTGTTTCTTGCTATGCGACCTGAGAGAGCGAGAGCTTAAGGGCGACTTGATCTCGCGCAACACTGCCCTTACCGTTTGCAGAGGGGCTTGGCAAGAGGCACTGGTGATACATGCTGAGATACAACACTACGGGCTGGAAGCAGATGTTGTTACCTGTGCTGCCACTATCAGTCTTTGCGAAGGGTTGAGGTGGACGCTAGGTCTTTCTCTTGTGAAGTGCCTGGTTCTGAAGCAAATACGCGGGAACACTGTTGTTTACAACAGCGCTATGACGTCTACCCAGAGAGCAGAAGATCCAGGCCATGCGCTTGGCTTGTTCGAATCGCTTCGACCTCAAACTCTCCGTCCAAGCCTGGTTTCCTGCAACGCCGTATTAAGTGCCTTCGAGAAATCTCAGAGCAAGTGGAAGCAATCTCTGGCTTTCTTGCGGAATTGTCTCCGAACAAGTTTCCGTCTCGATGTCATTTCCTGCAACTCTGTGATATCTGCGGTTGAAAAGTCCGGACGATGGCAAGAGGCCTTCTGTGTCTTCAACACCATGGATGCCGTGGATATTGGACACGATGTAGTGTCATGTAGTGCCGTGATATCTGCATGTGAAAAACCCAATATCTGGCAGAGCGCGCTGCGCTTTTTGGCGAAGATTGAGGGAAGCAGCCTGGAGGCTCACACTATCAGCTTCAATGCTACAATATCTGCATGTGGGAGCCAAGAGTGGCAGCAAGCTTTGTTGCTTCTTCGAAGCATGCACCACAAGAGCCTTCAAGTTACTGTTGCCAGCCTGAATACTGCGATCAGTGCATGCGACAAGGGGGCAAACTGGAAGCAAGCTTTAGCTCTCTTGGCTTGGCTCTACGAGATTGGAGTGAAACCGGACGCCATCACCTACAATGCCGCAGCCAGCACCTGTGAAAAGTGTTCCAGGTGGATCGCTGCACTGCAGCTTTGCAAGGCCCTCCCAAAGGTCCAGATCCCACCAACTACGATTACTTTCAATACGGCAATGGCTGCCTGTGGCAAGGCCGGGCATTTGCGCCTGTGTCTTCAGCTTCTCGCGGATCTAGTGCTCGAGCGTTTAGAGGCCGACGTCGTGACTTACAGCACGGCCATCAGTGCATGCGACCCGCAGGACTGGCAGACAGCTTTGTCTTTGCTGGGACAGATGGAGCACACTGGATTGGAGATAAACTTGATGTGTTATTCTGCTGCTTTGCAGGCCTGCGGACGCAGCACGCAATGGCAGCGAGGGCTGATTTTGTACTCGAGGTTTGAACGATCACAATCAGTCTCGCGGTTTGATGTGGTACCTATTAGCGCAGTTCTCGAGAGTCTTGAGTCATCACGTCAGCAGCTACTGCTAGTTCAGCTGCTGCCGCGTGTGGAAATGATGTGCTATCAGGGGATGCAGTGAGACACGTCGAAAAAAGCCTGGCTGACATGTCAAGGGGGCATTATGAAGTAGCAGTCAGAAGTTTGGTGTTTTAATCACCTAGTTTCCTCGCATGACTCAATGACCAGTGGACATCGTGCCGTCTCCTGTAGCTGAAGCCTGGGGCGTATCGTTGTACAGAACCACACTGACATCCTTGCAGCTTTACGAATTCGGCAGGCCGCCGTAGCTCAAGCAGTGGCAGGATCTTGGCGCAGCCGGTCGCGACATGTGATTTCTGAGTGCTGAGCTCTCCGACACCTACTTACCACCGGAATGCAGCAAGACCCTTCAGCCAGGCTGAAGCGATGTTGCAAGATGATATCTGCGTGCCGCACCGGGGAGCAGTGGCAGACGGCCCTTTGCCACATCACCAGCTTGAAAAACGAAGCGCTGAGCGTCAATTCCTTCCTCATGAATGCGGCAATTGCTTCCTGCCTGAAATGTCGCCAATGGAAGCAAGCTGGCTGGCTGTTTGCTGGCATGGTGCCAAATGGGATTCAGCCAGATGTCATCACCTACAACACAGCCTTGAGTATGTGCAGCGACGATCGATGGCAGGGTGGCATTGAGCTTTTACAGGACATGAAGGCCGCAGCATTGCAGCAGGACCGTTTCTCTTTTAACACAGCTCTGAACAGCTGCGAGAAAATCGCTTCGTGGCGGGTAGCTCGAGATCTCCTCAAAGCATCGGGCGATCTCGGTGTCTCTTCAGATACCATCACCGTCAACTCCATCCTCAACGTTTGTGCTGGTTGGAGTCACTGGGAAACTGCGTCTTCGGCCCTGTCTCAAATGCAACGCAGGAGCCTGCAGGCGGACGTCATTTCACACAGCTCGGCTTTGGCTGCTTGTTCCGGCAGGTGGGTGCAGGCGGGCGTTTTGCTCGGCCGGGTCCGGCATGCATATATTCGGACGAACGTGCTGACCTTGAACACTGTCATCAACTGCCTAGAAGGAGACCCAATGTCTGAGCCCGCAGATAAAATGGCGGGGTGGTCATGGGCTTTAGACATTTTCGCCACGATGCAATTGCAACGAGATGTCATTACATACAACTCGTGCATCACTGCGGCCAGACCGTCCAATCGCTGGCAGTTGGCAAACTTTCTGTTTCGGCATGCGTTGCAAAACGGCTTGAGGCCAAATGTTCGGACTCACAATGTCGTACTCGCCACCTGCGCTGCCGACGGGATTTGGCGAATCGGTATTTGCACATTGGGCCACATGCACTCCGACGGTGTTCAACCCGATGTGATCACACAGTCTTCAGTCCACAACGCATTAGCACAATCGCTCCAATGGCTTCATGCCACATGTATCTTGCTGGAAACACCAGCTCGGCAGAGCAACCTGGTTCTCTATGGTGCAGCTGTGAGCTCCTGCTCAGGCGAAGGGCGATGGAGGATTGCTGTGACAGTTACAGCTGCGATGCTGAGACGGGCCCTACTTCCCAATGCTGTCATCTGCAACTCCCTCATCAGTGCATGTGAAAAGAGCTGCTGCTGGGTTCAAGCGATTGCTTCGATGAACATCATGTCTGACAGCTACGTGAGAGGCTTGACGGTCGGGCTGGCTTTGGGACCTTCAGTAGTTTCACTTTCAGTGCGACAAACAGAAAAGGCACACACTGTTGTACTGGAGGTTGAGACGGGAATAAGGAACTAGCAGAAGAGGAGCAAGGCTTATTCTTGCATATGGGGGCCGGGCCAAGTCAGGGAAACAGAGCAAGTAAAGGACGTGCTTCAGAGAGTGGGTAGGCTTTGACATGGTTACTGCTGCTAGCTGCTGCTACTACTACTACTACTACTACGACGACGACGACGACTACACCTTCTACAAAAACTACACCTACTACTTACTACCTACTAATGCTACTGCCACAATATTATATCACCGCCGCTACTGCTGCTGCTGGAGTGTTGCCAAGAGCGTTGTTGATGTCGTTGCTACTGAGACAAGTTGTTGCCAGTATTAGGTATTGTTCGTTTTTCCATCACTACTATTCCAAAAATCTGGGTGGTTTCTGCAAACCCCCTTCCAGGGCAGCTTGCGGACTTCACCATCACCTGCAATGCCACCATCAGTGCATGCGAGAAGAGCTCGCAATGGCTTTCGGTGGTTTCTCTGCTTCGGAGACTACGAAGCCGAGGTCTCCAAGCGACAGTCACTGCAGAGAACGCACCCTGGTAGAGTATAGTGGAGTAGAGAGTAACCCTTAACCTTCTGGAGGTACTAGGTTCTACATTTCCTTTGTGATGACCCCAAAGCTGACCTTCAGTTCCCCCTGGGAAACTGGACAAGTAAGGCGCTCATGAATGCCTGTGGGAGCCAAGAGCGATGGAAGGAGTCTCTTCAAGCCCTGCGCCGAATGCACGACTGCCACATGCAACCCAACCTCACTACATTTAATGCCGTTCTCAATGCGCGCGAGAGGGGTCGTATCTGGAAGGATGCTGTGCAGCTTGTGGCCAAGCTGATGGAGCAGAGGGTTGTTCCTGGAATTTTGACAGGGTGCGCCGCTGTAGCTGCAGCTGGAAGATCTACTAAGTGGCAGCTGGCTTTGGCTTTTCTGCCCCGATTTCAAGCAGATCTGGTAGCACATTCATCAGCGATGAATGCATGTTTAAGCGCGCAGCGCTGCCAGCCAGTTTTCGTGCTACTGCAGGAGCTGCGCGATGGCAGTGTGAAGACAGACACTGTGATCTGCAACTCTGTGATGGCCGCGTGTGTCATTTCGAGGCGGCCAAAACAAGCAGCCTCCATTCTTTATGATGTGCAGTGTCAGGGCCTGGAATTAATGGCATCTCTGAGCTAGCAGACTGCTTTAGCTTCCCGTGATACGGAAGACGATTCAGAATTTGCACGACGTGACAACAGGGTTTGTACCTGGTGTGGTGCGGCCATGCCAGATTGGTACCGTGTCATCTCATGCTTTGCATTGGTCTGGCTGACGAAGGGCGGGTGATCAAAAACGAGCGTCCGACCTGTAAGCCGCTTCTACCTGGTAGCACAGGGCCATACCACGTCGGAATTCAGAAGCTGTGGCAAAGCCTGCCTGATGGTGGGTGGGGTACTCAAGAAGATGATGATGATCCTACTCCTCATAAGGCTTCTGCTTCTACCCAAATGTACTGCTACTGCTGCAGCTACTGCTGCTACTACTACTACTACTACAACTACTTCTACTACTACTACTACTACTACTACTACTTTCTACTACTTACTACTACCTACTTCTATTTACTACTACTTACTACTACTTACTACTACTTACTACTACTTACTACTACTTGCTACTACTTACTACTATTTACTACTACTTACTACTACTACTACTACTACTACTACTACTTCTGCTACTACTTCTACTACT